GCAGCTATACTTCTCAAAATGATAAAATTTTGCCTTTGGCAACTGTCCATCAGGCAAAATTCCTTGGTATAACCCTAGCACTGGGGATGCTTTGAGCCTGAAGTGATAGSGCTACGTCACTCCACCCATCTTTCAGTGGCTGCAGGCTCTAACTGTCGCACAGCTGGTAGTTCAAAGCTGCTGGGGTTTGGATCAGCATGAAAGCTGCCTCATAAGCAGAGGCAGTCTACTCCTTTGTTATTCCTTCATCTCAAGTAAACGCAGTGAGAGGATTTTTCCAAGAAAGAAATTTAGGCTATTTGAGCAAATACCGCAAAAGATTTACGTGCTAATTGTATAGGATCCCATTGTATAGGATATGTATACATATCCATGGATATGTTCATGGATATAAACAAGTAGGGGCCAGATGGTTACATGTGGAGCTGAGGAAAACACAGATATCTCCAGTTCCCCAGAGATCCTCTCAAAAACATAAAATCCCTTTGCTAAAAAGTGGCTTTGTTGACTTTGATACCATAGTCATCAGAATAAACATAAAYGAAAATATGACATTTTGAAACATGAAATAGTCATTTATCTTCAAGCTACTGTGGCTTCCTTTAAGAAGGAAGCTCCCACCAAGCAGAAGAATTGCAGTAGATGATACTTTCCCTTAAGCTGCCCTGATCCCAYAGATCAGCCTGTTCATAGACAGCCACCAGTGCCAGACTGATTCCTGTCAAATCCAGCCTTCCAGTGGAGCACCTGACACCTGACCTGACATGTTGCCTCTACCCTGAACTAGGCAATTATGTTTTTATGGGGCTTTTTGTCTTTAGTGTGGAGTTCTGTGACTTGTTGTGTTTGACAAGACCTCACATTTTGTTTTTCCATTTGATCCATATTACTTTATATGTTTTGCTGTAGACCATTGCTCTTGTGAAGCATCATRTAGTTCTTTTATATACAGCTTAGTCAAGGTGCACACCCTGAAAGATAAAACCATGTCCTTGCAATCCRAGATGGTGTCTGCCCAGTGTACTGTGTCTAAGAAGCAATGAGCAGATGGATGAGGAAGCAGATGCTGCCAGGGTGAGTAACATCCTTGCTTCCTGCCACCTGCTATGCCAATTTAGAAATAACTTTGTAAACATAACCTACAGAGCATAGGAGACTTCTCTGAATATCTGAGTGTAACATACTGCTGATGCTTTATTTATTCTTGGTGACTAGAATAGGTCATGTTCTATTTGATGATCTAGCAACTGAGCTGATGTATCAAAGTACAAAGATTTCTGTTGTTCAGGGAGCTGATGGTCAGACTCCGCACTTATGGAAGCTTCCTAACTGTAAACCACTGTGTTTAATAAGGTACCTCAGATTGACAGCTGTGTAAATGAAAGTGGAATTTCTTTCATTCATCTAGCTATGGGCTGATGCTGTATCTGCAAGACAGGCTTGTTTCTGTGTCAATAAGAAGTTTCAATAGAAAGAGACAATCTCTGCTACTATGGGCAAAGAAAAGAATTGCCAAATCACCCATTTCTTAGCATGTATGCAAGAGAATCACAGATGCTCATCTGTGTCTTAAGAAAAACCTTCTACTGTTAGTATCGTTACTGGGTTTTGTCCTGTGCATGTGTAGAAATGTTATGGGGAGGTTTCAGGATCACATGTGAACTAGTTATGAATTGCAATGATATGGATATTCTGTTGAACCAACAACAGGGTACCTATTAATGCGAGAAAAATTTTAAGTCAGTTTTCTAAGTGCTACCAAAACCATTTTTTTTCTGTTATAAGTAGAGAGGGTTGATGCTGCAGTGACTTCGGGCAGAGGTAGCAGGGGCTGTGGGTGTTACTGTGCTGCTCAGCTGGCACTGCTCCGGTCAGGTCRGCTGTGCGGATGGGGTGGACTGGAAACACTGCGCTAGTTACCGGGAAGTTACTCACAGTGCCCAGTTAGGGGAATATAGGAGATGGCTACGATGACAAAAGTTCTGTTCAACATGTTTCATCTGTGTTCATAACTTTTCTGATAAATATTTACTAGAATTTGAAAAGTCTCAGCCTACCTATCAACTCCACAACATTTAAGACTTATCTATACGTACTTTATGTCTGCTATCCCTCATTTTTCTGTTTGTTCCTATGTCCTTTGTGGAGCTGCACTTTGGATTCATAGCCTCTTTTTTTTTTTGGTAAAGATAACTGCCATGAACTTCAGCAGAACCAATTTACATTATGTGAAAGAAAACTTGTATTTCCTTATATTGCAACAACTTTCAGAGTTGTAATAAACTGCTAGATGAAACATTTTTAAAGTGAGGCAGTTCCAAGAAAATAGCAAATCTGGCTTCTAAAGTAGTAGTTCACAGGTCATTAATTACCATGTTCTGCTAACACTAAACAGTTTGTGAAGGAAACACAAATGGCTGTTTTAAGTTGCTTACCATCGTATTAGAGGAAATGCAAAGGATTTCTTCAAGTGTGATGATTATGGGGAAGAAAAGGAAATACTGAAATTGCAAGTCACTGTTAGTATCAGAAAAAAAAATCTAAAATGACCTTGAATCTATTTCATGAGACAAACAGCTGGAGTGGTGAGAAATGAAAAAAAGCTTTCCTATTTAGAGTATTGGTAGAAAGCCCTAAGTGCTTCGAAGGTGCATGTCATCATTTCATAAAAAGTACTGCATGATGTAATTGCCTGTGAAAGCAGAAGATCAGATGCTATGAACTTGGCAAACCATTCCAGTCCTAAGCTCGTTTTTCCGTTCTTTTAGCTTTAATCTCTTCTTTTATGTGAATGTAAATTTTCAGCAACTGTGCCATATATTACTATTTTTATGGCTTCGATGAAGAGGTTCTATTTTTGTCTTTTTTATGTTTTTTTTTTTTTTTTACTCTATCTGCTGTTGAGAAAACATAATCTTGATAAACCTGCAAACTTAACCGCCATCACACTTGATGTGTTGTCCTGGAAAATATCTGTATTATTACTAACCTTTCAATTTACCTAGTCATCTTGAAAAAAACACTCTCTAAAAAGAGTCGGAACTGGTTATTATCTTCCAGGAGTGATGCACACAAAATAAACCTTTGGGACAAGTGCAGTGTACATCCACTTGCAAAGAACACCATGCCTTTCCTTAAAGACAGGGTGAATGTTGTCGATAGGAGTGTTCACGATGAAAAAACGATAGGCCCATTCTGGAAATTGATTAATTTCCCATAGATTAATGGATTAATTAGTTTCTGTGTTGGCTCTTTGTTCTTGAGCAAAGCCTATGAAGATGCTCATTTATATTGAAGCCAATGAAAGATATTATGAGATTTTTCTTATGAATACTGGAGCAATTTACCTGTGCAGGAGTTGCATTAACAATAATAACAGCAACAACAAAAAGGTTTCATATTGAAATGGAAAATATTTTTAGTGAAGACGGTCTAAATTCATGAGTAAGTGTAAGGAATAGACTTCTGCTGCTATCTCAGATGTCCTGTCTGAGCTAGACAACAGTCTTCAGTCACTGCTGTTAATTCACTGTCTACAGAACGGGACTGGTTTACCTGAGAAGGATGTAGATTTTTCATTTTAACTTACCCAAATACTTAGATTACTTTAGGCAAAATATGAGCAATCTAAATCTAAAAATGAAAAGTCTACTTTCATTGTATCAAACATTAGCTATTCAGTCAGTTTTTCATGTTTGTTTTTATGCTTTGATCAGAATTGGAGAACACATTGTTTCTATTTGATATTTCCTGCTCTGTTCTTTTGAAAAAGTATTGTTTCCATACTGTTAGATACATCATTTTATTGGTATTTATGTTTAGTTCTTACTCTTTGTAACAGAAACTGTACCGAATGCACAGCTCAAGTAAAAAATTTTTAATTTAAATACCCTGTAGACCTCATTAGAGTGTTTAAGTGAACTGGTTCCAACTGAGTTTGTTCCTTATTTGCATTTAGGAATGGGATTTTGCTGGCAGAAACACTCCAAGTGAATGTCGGTGCTATAAGGAGGAATATTTGCAGAATGTTTCAATTTATAAAAAACTTGGGTTTGATATAGGAGCAATTTACATATCATTCAGCTGAGAAACAGGGAACTGCTTCCTCTTCCATGACATACATTTGTGCTATATAGCAAATTTTGAATATTTATGACCAAGTCCTTATAGAAAAGATAGAGAAAAGATTCAGAGTAAACACAGGAAAACTGTGATCAGTTCTGAAAAATCTGGAAATAAGAGAAAAGATAAAAGMAATATTTTACAAATTCATCTTTCAGCTCCAAAGGTCCAAAGTAGGTCTCTCTCCAAACGTCGTTTTGTTATGTGAAGTTCTGTAGATCACTAGGATTAACAAAAGAATGGACTGGAGTTTTCTGTTGCAATAAGCAGCAAAGTGCTGCGGAACACCCTCTTGCTATTCCAATCTTGTTCTCAGTCTTGTGTTTTACTGCTGTCTTGAACACTGCAGTGCAAAGTTATTTGGCAGCTGGACTAGGGAGGAGAAAGAAAACACTTTGCATAAGCACTAGTTCCACTTAAAATACAACTTACCCAGCGGGGATCATTCCTAGAAAGCTGATTTCCCCTCATTTTCACCACGTATATTTAAGGATCTGCACCACTGATGATGATAAGGTTCTATGTAAGTACAGATGCTATTGAAAAAGAACATATTTGATTGTTGAAAAAGAATGTATTTTCCATCATACAATGCTCTAGCAAGCCTTTTGATCAGTTTAGCCAGTAGCATCCTCTCTGTTTGTGACAAAAACAATATTTCTTTACTAGTTTATACAAACTGATGAGATTTATCACTTTTTTTTTTTCTTCCATGTGTAGTGTGAAGAACAGTGATAGTGAAAGAATTTCTGCCTGGCAAATCTTCTTCTGGCCTGTTCACAAAATTCCCAGTAATGCAAGTGAGTTTTACAATGGTCCTAGGACGGGAATAATGATGAGTTTTTAATTAATATTTCTATATTTATTGTAGTATAACTTAAAGGTCATCTGCCTTCAGCCGTGCTGATTGAAGGAAGTGCGAGTTGTACAGGTACGTTTTAGGTTGTATTCCGTACAAATTGATGGATGTTTAACTTCCTAGAAATACCATATACATTTCATTGCTGTTGCAGAAAACTTGCTACCCTGTCATGAGGATGCCCAACAAATATGTCAGTGGGGCACCTTGCTCTCCCTCAGTCTGAATGGCTCAGGGAGCCTCTTCAGGCTGGTGTCGCACTGCTGCTGCAAGGAACATCCAATTCGTGGTGCCGCCCTTCTCTGATCGAGTCCACAGTCGGAGTTAGTCCATCTTCTCTGGCAGGTAGCGCTCGTTGGTGCTCAGCCCATCTTTGTGTCTCCTTCTCAGTCTTGGAGTTAAGCATGAAACACACTGCTTTTTTTCTCCACCAAGCAGAAAGTATTAGTGGCAGAGAAGTCACCAGTTAGATATCTATTCCATGTTCACTTTCCTTTGGTTTCAAGAGACTTGGTAAAGCTCCCACTGGTCAGAATTGGGCTAGTTTGTGGGAAGGACATAATAGTTGTTGCTCCCTATTCATCCTTTGAAGTATTACAGCTGTAGATTGTGGGCCGTCAATCACAAAAGGTTATGTACAATATATGATGTTTTCTATTTTGTGCCTGCAAGAAGATATAAATGAAGGTTTGTTGTGTAGATTCAGGGTGTAGTCCTATAAGCAAGACCTTGTGTGAGTAACTGTTAGCAGATCACAGCTTTAATTAATGTAAATTTAATAGCCTGAAGACATCAGTTCTGGAAGCTATTGATTTAGTCTGAATCATGTAATTTAGTTTTTAAAAGTTACATAGGCTGCAAGAGCTACCCTGATTACATTTTTCATATGCATGACAAGGTCATCAACTTCTCTGTAAAATAGCATTTAAAACATGTAAGCAGCCGAGCAAACATCTCTACATAGGTTTTCATTAAACTAGACTCTAACAGCCTTTGTGAGAATAACTGTGTGCTTAGAGACGACTAAATTATCTTAAGGCTAAAGTTCATTAAAAGTCCGCTAAAAAGCTCAGACTGTCACAATCCTATTTGGATGTGTCATATGTCAGCCAAATTCCATTGCCTTTAGATATCAAGAGATTGATTTTTTCCCAATGAGAAAAGCTCACATCCAGATGGTGTTTCTCAAAGCCGGGAACATGAATGACCCGTATTCCTTAAAACTGATGGTTCTTTAGGTGACCTGCAGTGTTAACACACATGTTCTTAAACTCCGTAGCAAACACAGAATCTAACAGAAAATACAAATAATACGTAAATATTCAACACTTTTTTCACTAAGGGTAATGCAGCGGTTCAAGATAGCCCACAGAGGAGGGTATTTTTTATTATTATTTTTATTTTTCCTAATTTGGTTTTAATGAAAGCATTGCCTAGTGCAGTTACAGTTTTCAGAAAAAGGTAAGGATGGAAGGGTATACCTACTGAGTCTTCTGAATGATCTTTTTGCCATCAAATTCTATCTACCTGAAGAGAATATACTTCTCACAGTGACTTTCGTAAATGGAAACACTGTTTAAAAAGAAACTTTAAAAATATCTACTCTACAATGTACATTATCTTTCAACCTCTAAAGTATTTTTTCTCATCCTTTATCTCAATATTTATCATACAGAGTCATACGTTATCCTGGACAAAATCTTGCTTGTTGGGATGAATCATTATTGTGTAATGTTAGGGTGGGTCTACTTTTTTTCTGTCCCCTGAATCACCTGCCTGCTACTCCCTACCCTTCTTTTCGGCAAAACTCTTTATCAAGGAGATAAAGCTAATCAATCCTGAGAATGAATATGGAGTTTGCTTTTAGCAAAATGCAAATCATAATATGAATTTACATACTCCTTTTTTTCGTTGTATACACTTGGAAATTAGCTAATTTAGTATACTAAGAATACTGTACTAAAAACAGATACATCAACAAACTCTCCTGGCAGTGAGGAACTTCATATTTTTTATGGATCATGCAAGTGCAGTCAGTCTGTATGGTACTAATGCACTTAGAGTTGTAACTTGTTTAGAGGTCTTCTGTTGTTCCTATCAGGTTTGGCTTACTGATTATCTGTTGAGTGCTTCAAAAATAGGTAATTTGAGCTCAGTATCTTCTCTCAATTACTATCGGTGCTTCTTCATTGACTAACAATTGTGCTGGCACTAGCTGMCCTCCTTACCATGGCTCATCTCTACATCTAGCATATAAGGAACAGGAAGAGGGACCATGGCTTCTTTGGCGGGGCAGGAGGAGACAGCAGCACCAACAGAAAGGGATTCAAAGAATAATAAAAACAATGTGGAATATATGAAAAGAAAAAGGAGAAATCATGTGTAGGCACACACACAATTTCTGTATTAAGTATTATATTATTTTCAAAGAAAACCTACATCTTCCTCGTGAATGATTGTTTGTGTATGTGTAAGTATGCTGTATACTGTTTCCATGTCTTTTTTAAATATACCTGAAACTGCTGCAGACCTCAAGTCCTCTTTGAATAAGTTTTGATTTTACCAGGAAGACTGCTCAATAGATTGTGAAGAAACACTATATTTTACTTTTTTTTTTCATTAGTAGCAGTTCTGGTTCCTTGAATTTTCTGAATAATTTAAACTCAGTGCACTGAAAGAATTTTTTTATTTCCAATTATTAATCCTTTTTTTCCTCTTATTCMTAATTGAAAATATGTTCTTCTATTAAATAGATAAAAATCTTTTCACATTTTCATTTTTCTTCTGAGATGTTCTTTTCATTTTTCTCTATCAGTTGAAGAACTGCTCAAAATATTTTACATCTTATCAATTCAACTGAAGGGCTGAGAAGAAAGTACAAAATCTCACCTCCTGTGAGTTTTCCTTTGAGCCATGATGGCATTAGGAGATACGATGCAGGAGACGATGTTTGCAATGTGCTCTGGGACACTGGCCAAAATGCCATGTATTTTGGATTTGTTCTATTTGATGGAAATCTCTATTTATATGTAATAGTTCATACAGAAGGAAAGTGTTCTTACTGAGATAGTATTTCCTRTAGTAGAGGTATTTACGCAGTGCAAATGGACAAAGACTGGCATTACTGACATTCAAGGCAGTAGAGCTATATGAAATATAGCAGCTATTTCAGAGAGATATTAAATTATTTAAAAGAAAGCAAAGGAGTAGCTATACCAACAGAAGTGGCTACAAGTTGAATTTAGGAAGGCAGACCATAAATGATTCAATCAAGGGAGATTTTAAGTTCTTGCAAGAAGGGCCACACATGATTGGAACTTAAATAGACAGGGCACAAAGCATGTAATTATAGAGTTACTGCACAGAACTAGGTAATACTGCAAATGAGAGACCATCTCACGTCATCCTGGGCTTGAGCATGCAGAGCGTAGGCAAGAAGTGCTGTTACAGAAGCTCAAGGTAAAATTTGCACAAGAAAATCCAGTCTTTTCATAGGAATTGCAGTCCTGAACAGCTGCTGTTTTCTGCCTCCTGATGRGAATTAGGTACAGTAGGGAAACACCTGGCAAGCTCTTTTCTAGCATAATGAAGACTATTAAACTCAACYGCTCTAGGCATCCCATCTGTTTTCCAAATCTATGTACTACAAGTTTTTGGTAGCAGGTGCCCTCTCAATTTGTGTAACACCGACCCTGCTGAAATGTTTTAAGTATGCAGAAGTTTAGGGTTAAAACACTGATGAAAGAAAGTTTGAAASAAGACAATTGAGTTGTGTATTCTTATACAGAAATTTTCTTCATATCCATATAGTGACCATATTAGTAGGTTAAAATGGAATTTAAAAGCAGAATAGCCTGTTAATGTAGAGTATTTTGGCTTATGAAAAGTTAAATAGTAATAATAGTATTTTAACTTGAAATTGAACATTAAAATGAATTAACAAAGGTAGTAAGGCTGCTGTGCATTATTGAAAATGATTTATAAACAAAGTAACTGTTATTTTCATAGATAATCACCAATATAAAAGGTATATCTCAGTGTGCTTTCTTCTGGGTGATATTTCTTTACAAAATGCCTCCTTTTTCCAGGTTCTGTTAAAGCAGCTATGACTTTTATTGTAAGAAAGACTTTTCTGYATCTAATTTTTTTTTGTTTAAGAAAGCCTGTGACCTTGTATAGTTAATTTAATATAACAGATTCTAACAGATCAGAAACAAATCTTTCAAAAGTGACAGGTATTAATTAGGCCTTGCAAATATATGCATAAACATGGCAGTTTGCATATAAGAACCATCTCTCTCTTTTTCCAAAGATAGTCTTTATGAGAGAATTTTAGCCTGGGCCTTCTAATTCTGCAGTCTACTGAGATATCAGAGATAAAATGAAATGAGCTGTTGCACGCTGTATCCTTTAAAAACCAGGAAATGGGAAGCTATATATTTCCTCCTGTACCAATGAGGAAGGGCTGGCTTCATCTTCCCTGCAACATCATTTTAGCTGAAAGCAGCACTTCAAGCCTCCCCTTCGTCTTTTCTTCTCCAGGCTCAGCAAATCCATTTTTCCCATCTTCAGTCGCGTGCTCTGGCTACCTAATCGCTGTTAAAGATTGTTATACTGAGTATCAGTTTTTAAGAGAGAATGGGAGAAGGATTCCAGTGATTCTTCATTATTAAATAAGACTTGAAAGAGTTTCCTGCTTTTTTCAGATCTTAAGTAAATCAGATGTGTTATCAGTCAAACAACAGAYAGTGAGCTTTAGTGATCTTAGACCTTATGCATTTCCAGCTTTTGGATCAACATCTTCTCTATCATTATAAAATCCATTATGATACATTTCATGTACATCCAAACTGGAACTCATTCCTAAACAAGCCACTTTGAGAGCCAACTAATAGCAAATATTTTGAATTTAGGTTTTCTTTGTGCCATGTTTACTCCTTGTGGCCAACCTTTAAAAAAGAAAAGCGAGATTTCAAACAGCGCAAGAATGACTCTAAGGCCATCTTTCCTGTCATTTAACCCACACAGAAAAATGAATTTTTACTGTTTTATGGGGCTAGTGTTGAATTTTCTGTGAAATTCAGGTTAGATGAACTCATGATGAAGAAGTGATTTTCCATGACTACAGAGATCTGCAGGTTTGTTGATATTTCACAGAAATGCAGAGTTGTATATTTTGAATGTTACAATCTCTGCCTTTTAAATCTAAAATAAATCAACTTAAAGAGCAGTAATCTATGGCAAGTTTAGTCTGAGCCCTCACTAAGAAAAACACCACCATCCTATTTGAATCAATAAACCGTG